TGGCCGGGAGAAAACGTATCTCACGGTGAGTCGAGACTTTTACTGGCCCCGCCAGTATCAGTTTGTGCGCAAGTACGTTCGCGCATGCGAAGTCTGTCAACGAGTGAAGTCAAGTCCTTCATTGCGTCCACCTTTACAGCCTCTACCAGTTCCGGCTGAGTGCTGGGAATCCATCTCAATGGATTTTGTCTTCGGGTTAATAAAGACGCACGCAAGAATACGGGTATTCTTGTATTTGTTGACAGATTCAGCAAAATAGTACACCTTGTGGCTGTGCTTGTGTCTTTATCGACACCATCTTTCGACTTCATGGGTTGCCCCGTGAACTCGTATCAGACAGAGATCCGCGCTTCATTGCTGATTTCTGGCGTTCCATGTTCAAATCACTCGGAACGCACTTGAAGATGTCGACTTCTGACCATATAGAAACAGATGGTCAGACGGAACGCGTCAACCGCGTCCTCGAAGAGATACTTCAAGGGTATGTCCACTTGTTTACGAGTTGGAGTGACTTCTTGCCGATGGCGGAATTCGCCATCAATAACTCGGTGCATGCGTCCACGACACATACACCTTTTTACGTGAATGGCTTACGCCATCCGCTTGTACCCACCTTACTAGAGTGTGACTCTGGTTTAAGGGGGGACAGACTTGCACGAGCATAAACCGAGATGGATCATGCTCATCACGCTCTGAAAAAGAGGTCATTGCGTTTGATGCCGATATAGATAAATCGATATCGAAGAATATGATGCCAGTGAGAGTGCGGAAGCCCTCACTGAAGAAGATGATCCTAGTGAGAGTGCGGAAGCTATCACTAAAGAAAAGGTTGATGTTGCTGCAGTGCACTCACAGCGCACTGAAGCTAACGAGTCCTCAGATGAGTTCATACTGGCTCGTGAAACGGTAGTCCGTTTTGTGCAAGATTCCATCGCCGAAGCGGTGGATAGGCAAAAGCAAAACGCAGACAAGAATGGAAGGGCGAACACTCTTTTATTCAATAAGGGTGACTCAGTCCTAATGTCTACGGTTAACCTACCAAAGCATTTAGTGGCTAACATGGGTAGTAGTAAACTACTACCCAAGTACATCGGCCCCTTTCGTGTATCTCATCGCCTAGGCAATGCATACACGATCGAATTGCCACGTAAGATGTGAACGCATCCCACGTTTTACGTTGGTCGGCTTAAGCCGTACCACCAGTACGCTGCTTCTTCCGATGAAGAATGCCCTTGCGCTCAAGCATCTCGCAGAGAGCCTTGTGCTCCCGATGGTGGGCATCAACAAGGGTCTGAAGAGCTGCTATCTCATCCCGAGACCGATCAACATTCCCACGAGCTACCCTTAGCTCTTCACAAAGAGACGTCAGAGATCTCTCGTTCTCAAGCTGAGCAAAGGCAAATTCAGCTCGATGCTTCGAGACAGCGTCCGCCAGTTGGAGACGTCTGTCCCACTCGTGTTCGAGATCACCGCGTAACCCTTGCATTACGCGATCAAAGAAGCTCTCGGGAACACAAGCCTCCCCACGATTGTGTGGAGAGCGTCTTCCCTCCTCCTCCACCTCCATTAGAGGACTCTCGTGGTGGCCAGCGCTATATGATTGAGCGGCTGTAAAACGACCGCAACGTGAACGGACGTCGGACGAGTTACCTCGTCCGGTGGCGCGGTTATCCCTCGTCCTGGGATACTTGGGATACTTGGGAGCCTCGCTCCCAATTGATGATTGAAGTACTGGGTCTGGTCGGGCAGTACGACGCGGCACATCCTGTGCCGCAGAAGGAACCACCGGAGAAAGTCTTCCTGGCACGGTCGTAAAGGGATTTCAGGTTGTCAATCCCTTCGTACATCTCACTAGATATACGTACGCGCCACCACGGGCTAGTAAGGAGGTAAGCCTCCTTAGGTGAGCGCGCCGAGTTGTTTACACAACACGGGCACGCGTCTCCCCAAGAGAGGCAGATTAACCCACTCTCCTTAGACAGACGATGCAGCTTATAGCGTGCACCTGTCGGGGTTCGCTTTTCAAACTTATCACGAGCTTTGATAAGTTTGTCGTTCCAAGCGTCACGACTTACATCATCAAGGTTATGGATGTAGGCGTTCCACGCTTGAAGCAGTGAGGGCCATCACGTTTGTGATTCCCACTGTACCATCGATGTTTGAAGAAAGCATCGATGAAGAACTCATTCTCAGCGCGGTAGTGTTTTGCACTGGGGTCAAGGTGATGGATCCTTGACGAATCGAACAACCGTGTTCGATAACGATCACTCGTCGTCGCCGACAAGTATTCCATGACAATTTAGGAGGCATCCATGCCTTCTTCTCGGGAGCGAGACACAACACGTTGCGGTCCCGCTCTACCTGCGAAGTGCCGACAGAAGTACTGGCACCTTGCTGTGAAGTGGTGTCAATAGGAGAACCGACACCACCATGAGCGCCCGAGTCTTGCGATCTCGAGCGCCTTCACTTTGGCGATGGTTCATCTATTTCGTCAGATGAACCAAAGATGCTACGACGCATAGCATCATCCATGCCACGCTTGGCAGGCGGCTTGTATTCGATCGCCGTCGATACGGATCCGTCTTCCGTATCAGGAGAGTATGAGACTCCGAGCTCATACTCTGTGAAGACATGTGTGCATTCATGACGAGCGCCTGCATCACCAGGTGATATAGGCTGAGACGCTTCAGCAACAGATGACGCATCAGTTTCAGCGGTTTCTGCTTCGACGTCTGCACAAAGACGTGCAGACGCGCTCTCAGCTGCCTTGGTTGCGCAACGCACGGACTTGTTAACCGTGCGATGAAACTGTTGGAAAGTGGACTCGAACCAACAAGTGCAAACCCTGTGCCAAATGATTTGGGACGAGTATCAATTTAGTCAATCAGTCACTGAAGTGACTGATGGTTTAGGGGGGAGGGGAGATGCAACGGCGTGAACCGTTACATAACAATTTATAAGGAAATTGGTAATAGAATATAACTATAAGAGTTATATTCTCAGAATATTGTCATAAGGGCAAATAGTCCGTAGCACTTACGAGTAGTTCCTAATTGGTTGATATAGGCCATTATATCAACCAACGAAGACACGCCACGACAGACGCACGCAATGAGTGGTGAGCAGATAACTGATTTACACATTTGTATTCAGACATAGCTAGATGATGATAAATAGTGATTTATTGCAGACATTAACTATACTAAATACAGTTCTACTTTTTACTTTAACCAAGTACTCGCTTCTTCTTACCGTCTTCCTCTGCACGTACAAGTGTACGTGAAGTTACGGCATGCCTTATTCTGTCATCAGCATAAGTAGCTTGTACTGTCACCAGTACAAGCTTCAGGGTGCCCCGTTACAGTACTGTTGTGCTGAGCTTAAAATGTCGAACCCATATAGATGACTAAATTCGGCCCGGAAATCTTCCAGTATTTCTCTTTAGAGCGCTTTCGGCGGCGCTATTTTCCAATGTGACAGGTGTCACACCTCATATTTTGACGTGCAGTTACCATTATACCGTATAAATGCTCTTGATCAGAAAAATAATTTAGATATTGATCATACGTGTGACCCAATCTCTCAGCCCACAGCTTCATAGACGCTTGTTAATCGATTTTTAAGTAATGAACCTGCCCGGAGTGCGCTGATGGCTTCATCACCGTACTTACAGCTTTAACACCGTGTCCTAAAATCTTGACAAGATAAATCCCCACATTCCGTTGACAAAGATTGCTTTACTAAAGCAGACCAACGACTCAAATTACAAACTTCATGTGAAAGATAGATTAACGGCTAGACCGTGCTCGATCGCTTTTCCAGGCGCGAACAAACCATGTTTGTGTCCGGTACGTGAAGCACATATTCCAATAAAAAGCAACTTAAGCGCACCATCGACATTTTTCCCAACTAGTACTGTATTTTTCCAGCCACTGCAAATTTCGATGCTGCAGAAATTCCTGACACGCTTATTTTGGAGTCGAAAGGGAAACAATTGTACGTGATAAAATCCTTACGCACAATTAAAACGTGCACATTTGCTTCAGTATCATGGCACCAATAGTAGGTATACGGCAATATGAGCGTTTTCTTACTTTGTGACTCTGCATTCTGCGTATGAACACCAACACCATTCGACAAGATCAAATTTGCGGAAGACCCTGCCACTATATCCTCCTTGCCACTTCCGGGAAACACGATACGATCAGTGTCGACTTTCTTCTCGTCCTTGTCGCCATCCTCTGAGCACTTTGCAATAATAGGCGACACGGGTTGGATCGAAGATATCGCACGAGATTTACCCCCCCCTATAGAATCTACATCCTTAGAAAAGTTACGCTTTAGGTGAACAGAGTTGCTGCACCCATAACACGTCCATATGTCCTCTTAACTTCACCGTCATCCTTCAGTTTTCCAACTATCTAGCTTAATTCGTTTCTTGTTGAAACTTCCTGTGGGTTTGCGACCACTTGCATAGTTCTCATTAGTCTAAGAAGACGCTCCTTTACTGTAATAACGCCAGCTGGCCGTTCAAATCTGCCCCCCAGCTCTTCCATGGCTTTTGACAGAGCATTGCCGCACCAGTTTTGTGTTTGGACTAATGCATATTTGTCAATCTTTGCCGGCAAACTTTGAAGTCAATACATCACCATCGTTGTAATGAGACGTTCTTGTTCCCAAGCCATCCAATTTGAGCTATTTGTTTCTCATTCTTCGAGGATAAACTTCAATTTTTTCACCAACATGATTTTTAAGAATGCGTAAATCCTCCTCAAGTCGTTTACCTTGTGGAATACAGCATCCGTCGACGTCCGGTTCGCATACCGTCTCGTCAAAGCAGAAGGCATGGTGCTTCAGGTTGTTTCTATTTGGTAAAGCTCTACCAGGGCTAAAAGCGACATTAACATTGTTTTAGGAATCTTGCGCTCAAGCTTAACCAACTTTAACTTTCCATCATCAGTCGACAATTATTCTACCTTGATACATTTACATGCCACATATCAGAGCTCGACGTCATCATCCATATCCTGAAACGCCATCCTCATCTTTTTATAGTACGTGTTCCAGAGCACATTCCAATTGATCTGAACACCGCTCTTGGTGTATAACTTCGTGTCCGTCATTCTGGGACTATTTAGGCCTATAACCCTCTTGTGTAGAGAACCAGCTTCCGTCCGTAATGCAGTTGTTTTGCAGCTGACGTTCATTATCTTCGTTATACAAGTCCTACCTTTATACTACATGTAATCACTGTCGTCTCCCATATAATGCAACAGCAACCTACCTCCGGGACTCCACAGACCACCCTTCTGTTCATACCCGAGACTGCACGTGCCGTTAGCTTCCATCCTAGCCTCTCATGGTACGCTACAGGCGCTCACTTGTCAACTTACAGGTTTGTTGCAGAGTATAGTCACACCTGCAAGCCAATAAACCTTATTTAACACTGCGGTCTACGCTCAAGTACTTCGGCCAACTCTTGGGAAAGTGTCCAACTATAAGATTTTTTTAACGGGGCACACTTTGTTTGGGTGCCACGAAACTTCACATACACATGTACGTGCAGAGGAAGCTAATCTACTTGAACGACTCGTTCAAGTAAAGGTAAAAAGAAAACTGCGTTTAATATAGTTAGGATATCAAAATAACTTTAATCTTTATCTAAGTATATTAAACTACGTCGTCGTATGACGACGACCTGCTCACCACTCATTGCGCGCGTCTAGCAGCGATTGATGGCAATCTATGGTTGCTATGTCTTGTATCAACCAATCCTGAAGCAGCGCATGAATATCACCCTAAAAGGGATTAGTATTCCTTCAATATTATTCATCTCGGATAATATTGGTAGGATATTGTCATGCTAGACAATATCCCTATTGACACCGTTTGGTGGTAATATCATGTATCGACACCAAACGGTGTCACGCCTCTGGGGTATCTGGGGCGGACACTGCAAGAGCCAGGTTGACTGGCTCTGGTCAACTTAGTGGCAGATCCTGTTGGAGTGCTCGCTTCCTCGCACTCCAACAGGATCGATGGACGTAACGGCTAACAAAAGCACCGCAATGGTTAGAAAGAAGTCGTCAGCGTCAGAAACGTGCCAATACGATGCATCCGCATTCGACACTGCAGTTAAAGCACGTGGGTGTGGGTGCATGTAGCGCGCGCAGTCGGCGGATGAGCATTGTTTAACCCACTGTTTCTATCAAAATTGCTGCACTGAAGATACCGACGTATGGGACAACAATCATCACTTCGATCGCGATCGCTACCAACCTTTGGTCGAAGTCAACTTACGACAACTGTGCTTGTTCAGATGGGCCTTCCTATCTTTATTCTTTACATCTTCAGCAGCATCGTCGTCAATCTACTGCTGCTCGAGCTGCTCCGATGAACAAGATATTCGTAAAATGGGAGGTTTAAGAAGAATATTGCCTTTTACTTATATTATGTTTTTAGTTAAAGGAGATTTTTTAAAGCTTTAATTATTCATACACGATATCACAAAATTAGTACTATAGGCAATATGATTAAATTTGATAAAAATTGTTTAATTATTTTAAATAATCAAAATAAACCTTTAGGTACAAGAGTATATGGACCAATTACCTCAGAATTTCGAAAGCAAAAAAAATTCAAAATTTTATCATTAGCTTCAAATATTTTATAAAAATTATGAAAACCAAGTAGGGTGCTCCGCACCTACTGATCCTATCCGTTTTTTTATGGTCCATCCCGTTGTTGCGTATTTGCACCAACAGCGGAACCGCGTCCCTGCCCCTTTCTCATGGGTGGACGGTCACTACGCCCAGTGTTGCGAGACACTGGACGAGGGGCACTACACTCGTAAGCGTTTTCTAAATCTAAACAATTTGCTCCATATAATTTAGCTCTTACATTAAATTCTAAATATACATGATAATGCTTACCCCCTTTTTTATGTTTTTCTTCTGCAATTATATATTGTATAATTTTTGGTAATCTTTTTTGTTGTAATTGTTCTAATATTAATTGTTTAGCATTTTCTAAAAAAAATAATATTTAATTGAAAATATATTAAAAAAAGTTTTTTACCTCTTATTCTAAATTGTTTAAATAAATTGGTAATAATAATTCAATAGACATTAAAATAATTATAATATTTTGTCTATTTAGGATTATACCTAATAATCTTAGACAAAATAAAAAAAAGTAAAAATAAAATGATTTAAATACGCATAATTAAATTAACCATGAATGAGCTTTAAAACTGTAAGGTTTTGAAGTTAAAGCACCCACAGGACATAAATCTACTAAATTTCCCGAAAACTCTGAATTAAAAATTTTCGGATAATAAAAATTAATTTCCGTTTTATTACCACGACCTGTTGTACCTAAATCATCGATTCCACAAATTTCATTTGCAAATTGAACGCAACGTGTACAATGAATACATCGAGTCATAATGAGTCTCTATCGTCTAAGTGCAAAACCACGTACTCACGTTTAACAGCGCCAGAACTAGCACTGCACTTTACGTTGAGACGGAGGTGTCGAGGCATGAAGAGAGGGTGGTCCAACAGATACACATCTGCAGCCAACTTGTCGCCCTGATCATCCAAGAATACACCAAATGCTTTCTCCAAAATTCTATCTTCTGCCACAACAGGGTCTCCGGTCAAGAAGGATTCTCCGATCGATGTGACTGGACTCGGCAAAGTCGTCGGCTCACACTCCTCTTCTGCACTGTCATCAGTTGTGGTAGTTATTGTTTGGTAGATGTGGGCTAACAAAAACTTTAAAAACAGGTATTTGTAGAATTTAAAATAGAAGAAGGCTTAAATTCCGAGGGTAAAGCCACCGACGAGGCCCCAAATGGTTTGCCAAAAACGCGTCAGGACCGCGTTTCAAAAACGAACACTGTCACACTTCACCAAAGCCGCCCTGATCATCGTACTGAGATGTTAGCCATGATGAGCTAAGATACCTCGGCTTCAACAAGCTTCTACTCCTAGCAAATGGACTGCTGCCTGAATGTGGTCGCTAGTGACCATCCAAGAGATCTCATACCATGGACTATCGATCGTTTGCCACTTGGAGTCAGTCGATGTATAAACTTTACCGCGTCTACACACACGATGAGTTCGAACGTAATAAATAAACATGAGTAGGTATCCGGATGTCGTAAATGACGGAAGTCGTGGGTTCCTCGTGTGCCTGCACACTCCAATACGTTCGTTGTAAATCTCTGAAACATTGTGGATTGAATCCACTCGGACCCACAACGTGAATAAGCTTGGCCACAGTAGCCTTAACCCCCGGCGTCACACGCACTTGTCCAACTTCAAGTCGGACATCCAGTGTACGAACGTGGTCACTCAGCCCTTTTCCTGCTCGTCGAAACGACGCACGGGTGCTGAGCATCTTGGCCACAATGCGTGGCTGGAAACTGCTGCGAGTCAAGGCCACCGATGGGGATTACGAAATCGACAAGCTTATGACGGAGATTGAGCATGATCTGGAAATGCTAGGTGCAACAGCAATTGAGGACAAGCTGCAGAATAATGTTCCAAGATGCATTGCTAATCTAATGCGCGCAGGAATGCGAGTGTGGGAAGGGATTTAAATTGTTCTCATTCCAATTGCCCGACTCAAAGAGCCAGAGCATTGTTATTTATTGTCACTACCTCCCTGTATCAGGATTGGGTAATTTACGCGCCTGCTGCCTTCCTTGGATGTGGTAGCCGTCTCATTCTGTTGAGGTCGAGGTGGATGTTGTAAGTATTGTAGCATGCGAACTTCGACGGAGACAAAATCAGTACATGTCGACTGCAGTATGCATACGCACAGGTCTGGGAAGATGTATTAGTTCACGTCGGCATTTACTACACTTCTGTTCGGCATCAAATGTAATTTTGGCTTGCTCTTTTCCCAGCATTCCCCCAAAAGGGACACATTCACGTCCTAAATACTAGCTGCGTAGTCACTATTACAATGCAAAGAAGCCTGCAAAAGACATTCTACGCATAACCTATTATAAATCGAATCTCTGTAGTCGATATGAGTGCATAATACACTTCCAACACGTACTTCGCAGATTGCACGGCATTTTCGTTCAGCACCTTCAATTCTGTGGTATATTATACCGGCTTGTAGAGATTACTCCCCGCTGGCGAGCGCGAATCTTGTCAACGGGTGAAGCCTAGTCCTTTATCCAGCGCACCCTTGCAGCCTCTACCAATTCCGGCAGAGTGTTGGCAGTCCGTATCGATGGACTTCGTCTTTAATTTTCCCAAAGACGTTCACAAAATTTATTGTTTTTTAAGTTGATTTAATTAATTAAATCAACTTTATTTTTAAATTATATAATAGTTTATATTTTATTTTATTATTAATATAAAGGTTTTTATAAAAAATTTTAAATAACTAAACTAAATATAATTATAATAATTTGAATACTATCGCAAAAACCACGGAGCTGCTCGACGAGGAAGTGGCAACTAGATACCTGTAGCAGTTTATAAACGAGATCGTCACAAAATCCGCTGTGGGCGGGATAAAATCCGCTGTGGATAATATCAGAGTTCAACACTCCAACTGTGCTTCGCCTTCCTGATGAGCGGCTTGCATTCCACGATGAATGTCCAGCTCGTGCGTGTGAACCCCGACTATCCAGAAATGCCTTTTCGGTGCCATGGTGTCGGGGTCACGGACGACGCGACGAGCGCGCTGGATTAAATCTCGCATCATTTACAATTCGAGTAGCGCTGCATCGGTCGAGCAGATTAAAGACCTCGGTTCTCTGATTGCAAACAGCAAGCCACAAGATCGGACCGTTATACTTAAATAAGTGGTCGCTACTAGCTCATAAGTTGCAACCAATAGTCAAGAAGACAGGTAAAAGTGTACAGACGTACACTTTTACCTGTCTTCTCCGCCTCACGCAAGTCCATCCGACGATAGGACGCGTGGGGATGGTGGGGATGCACCTGTGCATCACCACGAGCGAAGTAACTTGAGGGATCGAGCTGTCATTGATGTCAGTGCTCATGATGACACCGATCAAGAGGCTAGGGACCGAAATGTCCTGCGCCACGCTCCCCAAGTGGAGACTCCGTAAATACCGCCATCCAGGGAGTTGGACCGGTTGGCCGGCATGACTACCGAACGGGATCGAATCCCGTTGTTCAATTGCAGGAAGACTTGCCCATCTGATTCCAGCACGAAAATTATCCGTGCTGAGGAAGAGCTCTTCACCGATGCATTCTTCAAACATCGGTGGTACAATGGTAGCCGTGTTCGAGACGGGAAAGGCTTGGTGCAGGGATGGAATGCCCTCATCCACAACATCGAGAGCATTGGCCGTGAGGCCTGGCTCGCCAGACTTGATGCAGCTCGCATCAGGTTTGAGAAACGCAACCTAGTCGGGGTGCGATACAAGTTGCACCTGCTGTCGAGAGAGGCAGGAGAACCCTGTCTCTATTGGGGTGATTTGTGTCCAGGTTGCCTGGACAACTCGCACCGTGCCCCTAGGAAGGCCTACCTCCCTAATGATCCCTACTGGAGGGCGCGCAACTCTTCCGAGATGGCCTAAGGGATTGACACCTTGCAATCCCTGTACTCGCATTCAAGGAGGTCGTTTTCAGACGGCCCTTCTTCGAACGCAGCAGGTGGGTCTCATCATACAGCTCGACGAGATTAAGGACATCATCAATCAGCTGGAAAAGAGGCTCCCAGCTGTCCCAGGCAGGTGAATAGCCGCACCAGCGGACGAGGTAACTCGTCCGGACGCTACGCACGTCGCGGCGGTTCAAAATACGCTCCACCAGAAAGTGTTCACCCCCGCCTGAGTCCACCAAAGGATGTGGTGGTGGCGGGAACACCTGATCCAAATCGAGGGTTGGATCATCTTGATGTTTATAAACTAAATCGGTAACGGAACAGTTACACGATGACCTGGCTCATGAACGGACTCGGCGATCTGAGCCTCAGGACCTTGTAAAGAATAACTACAATTCCCTAACGCACGTTAGTTCGGAAGATCGTGCCGCTTTTGCGTTCGCGCAACTCAAAAACGAACGATCGACTCGTTCTCTTCGTGACGAGGTGGCTGCAGCTCGTCGAGACATCGCCTAACTGCGTGAACAGGTCGCTTCTCTAGTCGAACAGACTAGCTCGTTAAAACGGGACCACTCGACGGTGGTCTCGGCTCTCGACCGCAAAGGTGTTCTTCACATCTCAAAACGGGCTCGTACTGATATAACGAGCGGAGACGACCGACGTAAACGTAGGATGCGTACGCATCTTACGGGGCAGTTCAATCGTGTATGCGTTGCCCATTCGGCGCAACACACGAAATGGACCGATGTACTTCGGCAGTAATTTACTGCTGCCCACGTTTGTCACTGCATGTTTCAGTAAATTTACTGTAGACTGTAAAACTAAATTTCTTTCATCGAATGAAAGAACATTTGATCTTCCATGTTTGTCTGCATTTCCTTTCCGTCTGTCTAGTTCATCTGCAATACAGTCTTGAACGAAGCGGAAAAAAACCGCTTCGCGAGTCAGCAAAAATTCCTCTGCTGATTCATCCTTGTCAACAGCAGTGCGCTTCGTGTGCACAGCTGAAAGAAAGTTGTCTTCACTAGTGAGGATGTCATAGTCCTCACTGCGACAGTCATTGGCGATGCTGAATAAACCAGCATCGTCGTCATCATCATCATCGATGTCGATGTGATCGACATCGGCTACCATCACGTCTACACCATTGTCGACGGGTGATGAGCAAGAACCAAATCGTATTTTGTTCGATCGAGTCCACCCCCTCCCCCTTAAACTCGTGTCACACAATAAGAAGGCGGGAAAACGCGGATAACGTAGGCCATTCACAAAGAACGGTGTATGCGAGGTTGACGCATGCACCAAGTTATTGATGGCGAATTCCGCCATCGGCAAGAACTCACTCCAACTCGTAAACAAGTGGACATACCCTTGAAGTATCTCTTCGAGGACGCGGTTGACGCGTTCCGTCTACATCTGTTTCTGGATGGTCAGAAGTCGACATCTTCAAACGTGTTCCAAGTGAACGGAACACGGATTGCCAGAACTCCGCTATGATGCGGGGGTCCCTATTGGACACGAGTTCACGAGGTAAGCTGTGAAGTCGGAAGATCGTATCGATGAAGACACGCGCACAGCCCTGGGCTGTGGTTGACCTCGGTACAGCAACAAGATGTATCACCTTGCTGAATCGATCAAAAAACACAAGAACACCAGTATTCTTGTGAGCATCTTTGCGAAATCCAAAGACAGAGTCCATTAAAACGGACTGCCAACACTCTGACGGAATCGGAAGAGGCTGCAATGGTGTGCGGGATGAAGGGCTAGGCTTCACCCGTTGACAGACTGCGCAAGAGCGAATGTATTTCCGCACAAATACATACTGGCGGGGCCAGTAGAAGTCATGACTCACCGTGAGGTAAGTCTTTTTCCTACCACGATGCCCACTTGCTGGGGCATCGCGACACCCACCCATGATGCGCTATAGCAAATCAACAGGAGAGGGAACGAAGACACGAGGCGTGTCGCCGGTGACTGCTGTATAGTACAGCAGGCCATCACGAACTGAACACCGTTCGGTTGAAAAGCGGTATCAAACGTCAAGCTTTCCAACGCTTGACTGCATGAATTAGACACGTAATCCATCAATCGCAGAATAGACTCATTTTTTGCGTATGCCTTCCGCACGTCGTCGAGCAGATTCGACGACGTAACACTCACTGACAGTGTTGCAACAGTGCGATCACCCCTATTGTTGGATTGAGCAGTCAACTCCAATTCGGGCCGACGCGAAAGAGCATCAGCGACTACATTAAGTCGTCCTTGTTTATACTCGACGGAGAAGTTGTACTCCACGAAGAAAGACAGCTACCTCGCCATTAGTTAAGAGATATGTGGACTGTTTACGACCGTGCGTAATGACGCATGTTCGGTATAAACGATGAAGGGCCTACCTCCTAAGCGATATAGCCGAAACTTAATCAGTGCATATTTCATGGCAAGGGGTTCCTTGTCATGCACCGGATAATTTCGCTCAGCTGCTTGCAGCTGACGCGATTGATAAAAGACGACGCGCTCAACGCCGTCTGAGTCGTACTGCATTAAAGCGCAGCCGATTGCAAAATTGCTGGCGTCACAGAACACGTGGAATGATCTGTCTGGTGTGTAATCTCCAACACAGGCGATTGCACCAAGCTTTTCTTGATGCCTTCAAAAGAGTGCTGACACTCAGCACTCCATGACCACCTCTCGTTTTTCTTTTTTAGACGAGAGAGATGTACGGTCATCTCGGCATAGTTGCGCGAGTATTTGTACAAGTATGCCGCCAAGCCAAGAAACGTTCGAAGTCCCTTGACGTCGAATGGCACAGGCCAGTCACTAATTGCCTGAATTTATTCTGAATCAGGGCGTACCCGTTTTGACCCACGAAGCAGCCAAGAATTGATATTTCGTTCGCTGCGAATATACACTTCTTGAGGTTCGCAAACAACTAATTCTCTCGCATTAGAGTAAGAACCTTTAGGACGTGGATTCTATGAACCTCCACGTCCGTCTTTCCATTTAAAGCCCGGCTATGGACGAAGACATCATCGATGCAACTCGGTGCGAAATCGCGCACCGATCGCAACAGATTCGTAACACATCTGTTGAACGTTGCAGGGGCGCTACTTAGCCCCTGTGGCATCACTAGCCACTCCCAGAGCATACCACTGGGGGTTCTCACTGCTGTGTACGGGATGTCCCGCTCACGCATGAGGATCTGATAGAATCCATCCATCAGATCCATGGACGAAAAGATGGTACTTTTTGTCATACCATCTATGATGACGTCCTTCCTTGGTACCGGCGTCTTAGCCGGTACCGTTGCAGCGTTCACTTTGTTGAATGCGTGCACTGTCCGCCACCTATCAGTGGCCTTTCGCACACAGAAGGTCGGAGAGCTATGTGGGAAAGATGATTACCTCACATGACCAGCCGCTAGACGATCAGCAAAGAATCTGTCGATCGCTGTAACCCGTTCGCGAGGCAGTGGTCACTGCTTCATGACACAGTATATCGAACCAGGTTTTAGTTCGATCTCATGCCGAATGCCTTGGTCCTTCGGCAGCTCGCATGGCAAGGATTCAGGGAAAACATCCCTCAATTCGACCAAATCCTTATACTAAGGATTTTTCTTTATAGACTCCCAAGATTGAGACGTCTATCGCTCAATCCAAGTCTTCCCATCGAGGATACTCTCGTCGATCGATCGTCTACTAAAATCTCGTTCATTCTCAGCAAACACTTGAGCAAACTATATATCGGCGACGTACTCGTCCTCTGTGACGAGTACGCGGATCTGCTTGAGCTTGTCGCTACGCAGATCTCGCAAGAATCTTTTAGATTCTAGCATTGGCAACTTGACCACCTCCGAAGATGAATTCGGGGGCGTCACCAGATCAAGTGTATAAGCGCCTACACTTGATTTTTCATTCACCAAAAGATTCACTGACTAGGTGATTTCCTGGGAAAACACTCCGCAGGTGGTTGTGGATTCACACCCTCAACATAACTCTCTCGGGAGTTATTGCTCTCAGGAACGCTGGATTTTTATTCCATTTCGTGTATTGTCACGGCCACGTCCTCTTCGATCGACTCTCTTTCAGTCGATCGGGCTTGCTCTACGATCGACTCTCTTTCATTCTATCGGGCTTGCTCTACGATCGACTCTCTTTCATTCGATCGGGCTTGCTCTACGATCAACTCTCTGATGGTCGATCTCGCTTCAACATGTTGTTCATCTTGAACAACACTGATCTCTCTTCTTGGATGCACCCTTCTTGGTGTGCATCCGTGTTCCAGTCCACTCGATCTCTTCGAGTGGTGAACCTTCGGCACATCCTGTGTCTCTACACAGGTTCCGGAAGCTGGTTCCACAGTGTAGTGACATTCTACACTGTGATCTTGTGCAGTCGTACTAACGACCGTACCACAAGTGAGGCCATCGCACTCACTCGTAGTACATCCACACGCTTGTAGACGCTCCAAAACGTTCATCAGATGACCATCTGATGAACAAATGGCAGGCATCTTCACGGATCGATGCTGCCAGCTGACTCATGGCTGGTATTTTCGAAGCCATGGCAGACCGAGGATGACATCAAATTTGTCATCCAAATCTAGTAAGATAAAGTCATTATCGTACTGCTTTTCTTCCAGCGTGTAGTGGCTTCCCACTACACGTTTGCTCACTGTTACGGATGCGCCTGTAGCAAGGAACACCGTCATCCTCGTTGATGGGAACTCTCGCTCGGCATAGCTAAGCCACCTATCGTCTAGCTACTGGCGTCGAATAAACTGTTCGACGCCTTACCGTCAACCAGGGCGCGAAGTGGCATTCCACTTGCCACTTCGATCTTCAAAGTGATGAGGGAAACCTCATCACTAGGGGCAGAAACACACAGTAACTGCTTTTTGAAATCAATCCTGTGTTAAGATTCCTGATAATTCTCTTGACGTTGCTGGAACAGCAGGGTTCTCCGCCCCTACTGACCCTGTCCGTTTCTTGGCGGTCCGGCTTGCTGCCACGTCTTAGCGACATGGTTAGACCCACGCCTTGGACCTTTCCTTGGCCAACAGCGGTCAGCACGTCCTGTCTGAGGACGAGATGTGGTGCTTTAAGCACTACATTTATGAGCGTAGTGTCCAATCTTCTGACAGCGATGGCATCTTGCCGTCAGCTTGTGACTCAAAGAGCGAGAGTTCTCGCTCCCGATGTAACAGAGGTCCATTGGTTCGGGACCTCCTGTTTCCTGTCGTCTTGTCGGACGATAGTTTGACGAGTGAGCCTGAGACTTTCTCAGGCTGAAGTCTTCTTGTTCCGCATACGCTATCGCCTTTTCCAGCGTATGGAAACCCCCTTGAAACATGTAGGTCTTCACCGGTCCATTGACAAGGCCGTAGATGAACACGTTGATGAGCGTGGCCCATCAACAGGGTTTTTCGTGACGCTACTCGCAAGGTAGCGCAGGTGCTGTGCGTTAGCGTGCACATCACGATTACCTTGCTTTAGCCTCAAGAGTACAGAGCGTGCCCTGAATTCGGCTCTCGGCGGCTCAAACGTCTCATTGAGCCGAGACTTCAAGATCTCTAACGACCCAAACACGTTGGGTCGTGAAGCTTGAGCCTCAAGTCCCTAGTTTTGCTCGTCCCGTCAAATTTGACAGGTCGAAGGTGACTTGCATCTCGTCACCCTCGATGTGACGGGCCCCTGATGGCATCGTCTAACTCGACGAACCATCTCAAAAGGAAATCTTCATCGATTTTCTTGTACCTTCAGATATCTATCTCCAAGATTTCGGGTCGACCATGTGCGTTGGCCCGCCCATCTATTGATGAGAGCCTTGCTGTTATAGCAAGGCTATCTAATGTCGTTCGACGGCAAGTTTCCCTCGTTGAACTTGTTGATAGCAGCATGTTGCTGGTCTCTGCTTAGAGACTCCGACATACCACTGATGGCAAGTTCGCCCATGAGCACACTCATGCGGCCGACTACCTCCCATTCTGAGTCACTTAGATGGGGGTAGGCTTTACATGTGACGTGAAAGCCGTCGTCTTGTCCGTCCGACATGAACATGTTGGACGTAGTCTAAGTAGTCGTTAGACGGACTACGAAATGCTACCAGGTGTAACGGGACACCCTTTGCTTGGGGTGCCACGAATCTTCACGTACACTAGTACGTGCAGAGGAAGCTAATCTACTTGAACGACTCGTTCAAGTAAAGGTAAAAAGAGAACTGCGTTTAATATAGTTAAGATATCAATATAACTTTAATCTTTATCTAAGTATATTAAACTACGTCGTCGTATGACGACAACCTGCTCACCACTCATCGCGCGCGTCTATCAGCGATTGGTGGCAATCTATGGTTGCTATGTCTTATATCAACCAGTCTTTGAGCAGCGCATGAATATTACCCTAAAGGGGATAACATTCCTTCAATATTATCTATCTCGGATAATATTGGTAGGATATTGTCATGCTAGACAATATCCCTATTGACACCGTTTGGTGTCGATTTAGTGTAATGGGCTACCCCGTTACAGTATGGATGTCGGCAATCTCACGGGTTACAGGTCACCAAGCGCAATGTACGCTGGACTAGAAGATTAAAGGTGTCTTTAGTTTAATACCCACCGTCTCGTCGCTCGACAAGCCTGATTTCATTGCCGTCTACTAGGTCACTGGATTGCGGCTCGACAAGACTCAAATTGTCTCATCTATTGGTTAACAGGCTCGTCATCTATGAGGCTCTTTCTTTCGCTACAAGCGAGTTTTCCACCCCGGACCAACTTGAAGTCTTGGCGCTCCAGTCAAAACCTCTACAAGCTATGCCTCTCGAGTTTCGACGGCAGGCATACTCTGGCCTACGAAGGGACTCATTAAGAGAGTATAAGCTTTACTATGACTCGAAAAATTCTGCTTTGTATTCAATAATCTCGTTTTCTACTAGAGGGAGCCTATTAGGTGGCTCCCATTCTTCCCCCTACTACTCCCATAGAAAACCTAGTGACTTGAACGGTCGATCTTCCAGATGCTTCGCTGGATTTGATACTCGAGGAGTTTGAACGAAACGAGCCTTAACTCGACGATTCTGGACTTAACGAGTCTTTTCTCGATAGGTTTTATCTCGACGAACATTATCTTGAATAGTCCTATCTCGACGAGATTGAACTTAACGAGACGTAACTCGATAAGTATTAGCTCGACTAACTTTGACTTTTAGAATTAGCAAATAGGAGGGCTTACATAGTCAAAATTACTTCAATACAAGAGCCTCGGTCGTTTTACGAATTTAACTGGCAAGTGTCTCGACCTGAATATCTGGTCAATCAGCAGAACATTCTCTAGCCGAGCTGTCTTCTTCTTCTTCGTATTCAGCACTTATAGTACTTACACTTGCGTCTCACCAGTAAAGAACGTCTTTGTCTGTATAGCATCACTCAGGCGCAGGTGGAAGGCCAACTTGTCCCTCACATTGACACTAGACGCAAGATTCCAGTCAGTCGTCGGGACTACGCGAGCGATCACGGACATAAACCTGGAACCGGCGGAGCTGGCGCGAGTTAACATCCGTAACATTCATACACTACTCGGTCTGAAAAAGACCGTTAGCTGTAACAAAACAAAGAGAAATATCCAATTCTACTGTTTATTTCCGATGTATGGCGGTTCAGCGACAAGCCGTTCAAATTCCTTTTTTAGGGCAGGGTGTACACACTGGAGAACGTTCACCAAGCTGTCAGTGGATCATTATGGCTGGATAAGAGCGGTCCGATGGACGCTTGGGTGGGTCTCGAACGGAGTACATTATAGAGCTCTCCAACTTGACTTGTTTTCACGAATTTGGGCGTATCGCAGCGTACCTCAAAAAGAAAATTCCTACGGATATTGATATATAAGATTTGTGTACCTACACTCCTGATTTGAGGACGTCGACAGCTTGGCGCGTCACGTTTCAGCTGGCCGGGTGTCCGGCTTTCCTGCAAGGAGGTGTTCGTTTCCTATGGTTTGGCACTACTGTTATCTTACGTCAGCCGGGAGTGGGGCGCCAAATGCAATGTTGCTCTTGTTGTTGTCACGTGGGCTATCCGGCGTTGCGTTGTCAGTATACGGACGCGCAGCTGCATGATCCAGGTGAGGTGGTGGTTACCTAAGCGAATGTTCATGCAATTATAGACCTTTCTAAACCATTCGGAAGCCCCGACGAGATGCGTCAGATGGCTGACTAACTTCTTCTGGTCCAGAGGTCGGTCGACGCGGCGGCTCAAGCGGCCGTCACTCCTGAAGTAGTGTCGGTGGTCTCTTTGCCCAACACCGGGGACGCGCAGCCAGGTGCACCAGATACGTTTCACTTGGTTACAAATGCTTGTCTGTTAGACCCATCCGTGGCCACACACCGACCAGGTCCAAAGTTGTCACCTGAGCGACCTTGTCTTTCGCAACCCATCCGCGGACGGGGTCGGCTTTGGCAGCACGGCACGGCTCTGCCGTCTCCTGCCACTATAAGGATCCAGACAGGAGCGTATGATGCTCTCCGGGACGAGGGCGACGACTAATGCGGTCACGGTGATCGGGTCCAGGCCAAACTCGCAGCAGAGCAGCCTCGGGCGGAGGAGGTTCCACTGGGGTCAACGTCTCATGGTGCACGACCGCCAGCCCGCAAGCTGTCTCCGGAGGAGAAACCCGGGAAAATTGCAACAATGGCTCAGGGATCTGGCTCCAGTGCGGACAGACCCTGCACTTTTAACGGCGCAGCGCGCTGAACGGGCATAGCTTCTGCGGCTCGTATACCTGGCTAACGAGAAAGGCAATTCCTCTAGAACCGAGACCAAAGGTAGAGCCCATCCGGGAGCAACATTTGGAGCGCATACTGGTCGTTCGGGCCGTTACTACACCTGTGGTAGGAAATCGTCTGCGGGATATCTATGTCATCGAACGTCGTGACGGTGACGATAGCGAGTGGAGATGCAGCGTAATCGACTGACGGCGATAAACAGGCATGGCCGTGTCGTCGAGACGGCAACTGCGCACCCGATGCCCCTGTGGCTTGCATTGACGACATCTAGGCTGCTAAGATCGAGCACCCGAGACTTCCACCATTGAGTCTCCAGGTATGCGTGCGGTATTACTACGCATGTATCCTCACTGAATACGAGAGCTGTGCACTCGACTGTATCGATGAGCCAGTTCTGTCCGGCTCCGAGGCCGCACCAAGTGGTCTGTCATCCGGTTAGGCCGCCGACCCGTCCCTTTTTGCTGATTTCTTACGGCCAGGAACAACGTATGGTGACAGGTATGGTTGACAGGGAAAGCGCCTCTCTTGCCTCGGTGGGTTTTTCTACTACGCTAGCCCTGCACTCACCGTCAACGAGTGCATGTGCTCGGCCAGTTACTGAGGCGTCGTCGCTTGCGTTAATTCAAGATTGCTCCCTGGTTTAAGTTCACAGGGACAACATCCCTAAGGCATTGTTCGTGAACGGGTTCATCCACTTGAGTTAGGGTTTGGAAGTGGCAGCCACTGACGCCTCCCTCGATATGTGAGCCGATTGGACTACAATGCGCGGCCGAGTGAGCGCTGGACTGAATCCGCCCCTGTTGCCTTCACCAGATAAACGCATCGATCAGGAAGAATAGCCAGCAATTTAGCAGGCTTTCAGCTCTGAATGGCCACCTACGGCTACGCCCTATCCGCAGATATTTGGCAGCGTGAAGTCGCGGCTGCATACCGCGCACCATGATCTGGACATACTTCTCCACCACGTGCGTCAATTTGTTTTCTCACTAAATTGGTGACCAGCCTTGATAACCAGGTTCTCGTCCAATGGACTGCTATTTGTCGGCAGGAATTCCTCTTATCTGGGCTACGCGCTTACCGGAAAAGGCTAAGGACGGAGCTGCTGTGGGTTGGATCGATCACTGGATCACAAGTGCGAAGAATCGGGTCGTTACATCTCGGCTCGCCCCCTTGTTGACAGCTCAGATGATTGGGTTCGCCTTCGAGAGATCGACTATACAGTGGATGATGTTTTGCGACTCTAAGACCCGCGCAGACACGTGCGTTTGAGCAAGCACCTTCTCTGCGCTGTCTTGTTTGATACGGAGATAAAATAAATGATATATAAGAACCAAAACTACTAATTAAAATATAATTAAAGGTATTTCATAAAATTTTAATCTACTTTATTCTTAAAGGTATAGGCTTTATAGCTTTTATTGAGAATAATTTTTTAATTTTAAAATTAGGATTTATTCATAATATTATTATTTCAATACCTTCTGTAAATTCTTATAAACATTATTAATTTAAATTAAAACAACCTTAACTTAATTGAGCAAGTTAAAGCTCAACTTTATACATTTTACCGCGTTGCACATTGAGGTCCAAACAACCAGATTTACTTTCCGGAGAAACTTTGTCGTCATGTCATTCTTCTGCGGAGTAACTAAAGCTACCGGACAGTATACTTTTCCCCAGGGTTAAACCTATATTGACGCATGCTTACGTCCTTTTTCCACACCTCCTTAGTACTTGCCGATCCACAGTTACTGTCGGAGTACTAAGGGCAGCTCACAGGTTCACTATGTCTCCGAGTTCCGTACAGGAGCTTTTGAAGACGTCGACGAATATGGACGGCTTCGATTGCTTCGAAAATGGGATCCTCCCACGAGGTTCAAGCCAGCCACCGGAAATACAGAAAGGAGATACTGTAACGGGGCACCCTGAAGCTTGTACTGATGACAGTACAAGCTACTTATTTTGACGACAGAATAAGGCGGTGCCTCGTGACTTCACCTACACTCGTACGTGCAGAGGAAGACGGTAAGAAGAAGCGAGTACTTGGTCAAAGTAAAAAGTAGAACTGTATTTATAATAGTTAATGTCTGCAATAAATCACTATCTATCTTCATCTAACTATGTCTAACTACAAATGTACGTATCAACTATCTGCTCACCACTCATTGCGTGCGTCTGTCGTGGCGCGTCTTCGTTGGTTGATATAATGGCCTATATCAACCAATTAGGAACTACTCGTAAGTGCTACAGAATATTTGTCCTTATGATAATATTCTGAGAATATAACTCTTATAGTTATATTCTATTACCAATTTCTTATAAATTGTTATGTAACGATTCACCCCGTTACATCACCCCCCTCAAGCATCAGTCACTTTACTGACTGGTTGACAAAATGGATACTCGTCCCAAATCTTTTGGGACAGGGTTTGCACTTGTTGGTCCGAGTCCACTTTCCAACAATTCATCGCATGGTTAACAAGCCCATGCGATGCGCGAGCAAGGCCGCCGAGAAAGCGTCCGCACGTCTCTGTGCGGACGCCGAAGCAGAAACAACAGCAACTGATGCGTCATCTGTTGCTGAAGCGTCTCAGCCTGTATCACCTGGTGATGCAGGCGCTCGTCATGAAGACACACGTGTCTTCACAGAGTATGAGCTCGGTGTCTCATACTCTCCTGATACGGATGACGGATCCGTATCGACGGCGATTGAGTCAAAGCCGCCTGCCAAGCGTGGTATGGATGATGCTACGCGTCGTAGCATCTTTGGTTCATCAGACAAATCCGATGAACCATCGCCGAAGCGAAGGCGCTCGAGATCGCGAGACTAGAGCGCTAACAGTGGTGTCGGTTCTCCTATTGACACCACTTCACAGCGAGGTGCCAGTACTTCTGTCGGCACATCGCAGGAAGAGCGGGACCGCAATGTTTTGCGTCTCGCTCCTGAAAGGAAGGCATGGATGCCTCCTAAATCCGTCATGGATCACTTGTCGGCGACGACGAGTGATCGTTATCGAACACGGTTGTTCGATTCGTCAAGGATCCATCACCTTGAGCCCAGCGCGAAAGACTATCGCGCTGAACATGAATTCTTCATCGATGCTTTCTTCAAACATCGATGGTACAGTGGGAATCACAAACGTGATGGTCCCTCACTGCTTCAAGCGTGGAACGCCTACATCCATAACCTCGAGGATGTAGGTCGTGACGCTTGGAACGACAAACTTATCAAAGCTCGTGATAAGTTTGAAAAGCGAACCCCGACAGGTGCACGCTACAAGCTGCATCGTCTGTCAAGGGAGAAAGGATTACCCTGCCTCTCTTGGGGAGACGCGTGCCCGTGTTGTGTGAACAACTCTGCACGAGCACCTAAGGAGGCTTACCTCCTTACTAGCCCGTGGTGGCGCGTGCGTATCTCTACCGAGATGTACGAAGGGATTGACAACCTGAAATCCCTTTACGACCGTGCCTGGAAGACTTTCTCCGGCGGTCCTTCTGCGGCACAGGATGTGCCGCATCGTACTGCTCAACCAGACCCAGTACGTCAACCATCAGTTGGGAGCGGGGCTCCCAAGTATCCCAGGACGGGGGATAGCCGCGCCACCGGACGAGATAACTCGTCCGACGTCCGTTCACGTCGCGGTGGTTCAACAGCTGCTCAACTAGATAGCGCTGGCCACCGCGAGAGTCCTCTAATGGAGGTGGAGGAGGAGGAAAGACGCTCTCCACACGATCATGTGGATCGGTGTGTTCCCGAGAGCTTCTTTGATCGCGTAACGCAAGGATTACGTGCCGATCTCGAACATGAGCGGAATAGGCGTCTCCAACTGGCGGACACTGTCTCGAAGCATCGAGCTGAGTTTTCCTTTGCTCAGCTTGAGAACGAGAGATCTCTGACATCTCTTGGTGACGATCTAAGGGTAGCTCGTGGAATTGTTGATCGGTCTCGGGATGAGATAGCAGCTCTTCAGACTCTTGTCGATGCCCACCATCGGGAGCACAAGGCTCTCTGCGAGATGCTTGAGCGCAAGGGCGTTCTTCATCGGAAGAAGCAGCGTACTGGTGGTACGGCTTAAGCCGACCAACGTAAAACGTGGGATGCGTTCGCATCTTACGTGGCAATTCGATCGTGTATGCATTGCCTAGGCGATGAGATACACGAAAGAGGCCGATGTACTTGGGTAGTAGTTTACTACTACCCATGTTAGCCACTACATGCTTTGGTAGATTAACCGTAGACAGTGGGACTAAGTCATCCTTATTGAATAAAATAGTGTTTGCCCTTCCATTCTTGTCAGCGTTTTGCTTTTGCTTATCCACCGCTTCGGCGATAGAATCTTGCACAAAACGGACTACCGTTTCACGAGCCAGTATGAACTCATCTGAGGACTCGTTAGCTTCAGTGCGCTGTGAGTGCACTGCAGCAACATCAACCTTTTCTTCAGTGAGGGCTTTCGCACTCTCACTGGCATCATCTTCTTCGATATCGATGTTATCGATATCGGCATCAAACGCAATGACTTCTTCGTCAGAGCGTGATGAGTGTGAACCAAATCGGTTTTTGCTCGCGCGAGTCCCCCCCCTAAACCAGAGTTACACTCTAGTAAGGTGGGTACACGCGGATGGCGCAAGCCATTCACGTAAAACGGTGTATGTGTCGTGGACGCATGCACCGAGTTGTTGATGGCAAACTCTACCATTGGCAAAAACTCACTCCAACTCTTAAAGGAGAGTACGTATCCTCGAAGTATCTCTTCAAGGACACGATTGGCACGTTCCGTCTGACCATCTGACTCTGGATGATCAGATGTTGACATCTTCAAGCGCGTTCCGAGTGATTTGAACACGGAACGCCAGAAATCAGCAGTGAATCGTGGATCTCTGTCTGATACGAGTTCACGGGGCAACCCATGAAGTCGGAAGATGGTGTCAATAAAGACACAAGCACAGCCACTTGCTATGATTGACTCTGGTACAGCCACTAGGTGTACCATTTTGCTGAATCTGTCAACAAATACAAGAATACCCGTATTCTTGCGTGCGTCTTTATTAACCCGAAGACAAAATCCATTGAGATGGATTCTTAGCACTCAGCCGGAACCGGTAGAGGCTGTAAAGGTGCACGCAGTGAAGGACTTGACTTCACTCGTTGACAGACTTCGCATGCGCGAATGTACTTGCGCACAAACTGATACTGGCGGGGCCAGTAAAAGTCTCGACTCACCGTGAGATATGTTTTCTCCCGGCCACGATGTCCT